GGTTAATGATTTGGTACCCAGCTCTGGATAGAGAGTGTCACGGTTTTAAGAATTATTTTAAACTGGGCATCAAAGACAGAAAACTATTCGCGGAATTTGGGAAATGAAAAGAAATTAAACAATATCTTCCCAAGAAACGTGTTTAGGGGCTTGAACCATGCTGGATTGTCCTTTGAAATAGTGTTGTATGCTGCTCTATTTATGCGTCGAGGTTATCAAATGTAATTGCGTGTTCTCAAAGCATTTATCTATTATACATTTAACGATACAAGAAAAAAAAACGAGACTCCAAATGTGCATCAACAATAAAATATATATTGAAACAATAACATACAAAACAATCATGGTCAGATAATTAAGGAGAAAAAAGTAGCTTCCCTTTAACCGTATTCTGAATAAGATTGAATGTTCGAAAGAATTTATCTTGGATAAGAATGTTCAGGATTCTATGTTGAGTAGAATGTCTGGTATTGAATAGAATACAGTCAATTAAGAAATGTGTTGTTTTGTGTAATTAACAGAGTGTTCGTTTGTAAACTTGGCTTAGTCACAGAGAAGAAGAATAGTGTAATGTGATACAAAAATCTGTGTCTGTGTGTGCGTTGTGAGCAAAGTCGTAGATTTGTGTAGATAGGCGTAATATCTGGACTCTACTGAAAGTTTTGGAAACAAACCACTTGTTTATATAACTGCTGGTAGCTTCCCAGCAACAACGCGGGAAAGTAGATTTATCACAAAAATGTTTGATTGGTTAAAATTCAACCAATCACTGATTTTGTAACAAAAAGATATGTGAGCAAATTTACGGCAGAAAAGTTCAAAGTGGTGACTGCGATTGCTAAATTGTCTTATGGTAAAGCAGTATCTATTTATTAGCCAATTACAGTCGAGTAAATTGTGGGCGTGGAAAGCGTAGTAGTCGCTACAATAGCACCCAGAAGTTGGCTTCCATCATTTGTCGCTAATGATTCTTTAAAAGTGAAATGAGACGCAGAAGTAACTCTGTGTTGATGGGAAAGTCGGAAAGGAAGCTACAGGACCTTTTAGACAGGCTGGGAAAAGAAAGCGAAGACTAAAACATTAACCATTAACTCCAGAAGAAGGAAAGCGGGTGTTATTTATGATGACGGTCGTCTTCGAGTATAGAATCCATAGGTTAGCAGTGAATATTTCGAAGACAGTAGGAAAGCGTTGTTCAGGTTAGCAGTGGATATTTTGGTAAAAGTAGCAGAGCGTAGTTCGTCCTTCTGTTTCTCTTCGCCTGACAAGCTGGCACTGGACATTCGGGTAGATTAAACAAAATGGCCGCCTTTATACACGACGGATTGAATTTTCTACGTCTTCTGATTGGTTTACCTTCTATTGGTGGACTATAAAGTGAGTCAAGTCATTTGGGCTAACTCACTAGTTACATTTATATACACAAAAAACTGCAACAGCGGGGTCATCAGCAAGAGACAAAACCCAAGATGCGAGGCACGAATTAGAGATGACGACATAAAGCAGAAGATCAAATATCTGGGAAGCGCTTTAACAGAGGATGGAAGATGTGGCACCGAAATCCAAACAGACATTAGACCAGCGTAGGAAGCATCCTAAAACGTGAGAAACAGAAAAAAATAGTGTGTAAAATCACTCTCTCGAGTCGTTTGCACTTTCTGATACTTACCGGAATAGGGATCTGTCCCTGCGCTGGCAGTATCACGGCTATGACTAGCTTGGACCGGATGAGGAGAAAACTAGAGTAACACGATAGAAAGTTGTGGAGAGTCATGATCGCCTATGTCCTGAATGAACGCAGCACATACCAGAAGAAGAAAAGCTTTGGTATTTGCTGTCTGATAAGAGTAGAGATTTACTTGACCAAACTGAGTCAGGTTGTGACACAAGGTCAGTTTTTAACGTGGTATATGAGTGTCTTCACTCGGGCCGCTGGTCAGAGCTAGCCTAAGCGTGTCATAGCTGGTCTAAGCTAGTCATAGCTGGTCTTAGCTGATCAGAGCCGGTCCAAGCTAGTCATAGCCGTGATACTGCCAGCGCAGGGATGGATTCCTGAGCCCGCCAAGTATCAGAGTGTGCAAACCACTCGAGAGAGTGATTTACACACTCCTGTCAAATGAGCGTTCTACTTATTCATTACTCTCTATGAAAAATAATATTTTCGTAAGTTCAGACTATTTAATATTTACCTTTTTATTCGTATTTTTATTATTTTTCCTCAGTAAGAGAAGATAACTTCGCCTGTCGTCCGGTTCACACATCTCCCCGGACTTTTGAACAGGAGTAGAGATTGATACTTTGTTTTCTGTTACAAGTGGTGACTGCGATTGCTAAATTGTCTTATGGTAATGCAGTATCTATTTATTAGCCAATTACAGTCGAGTAAATTGTGGGCGTGGAAAGTGTAGTTGTCGCTACAATAGCACCCAGAAGTTGGCTTCCATCATTTGTCGCTAATGATTCTTTAAAAGTGAAATAAGACGCAGATAACACTGTGTTGATGGGAAAGTCGGAAAGGAAGCTACAGGACCTTTTAGACAGGCTGGGAAAAGAAAGCGAAGACAAAAACATTAACCATCAACTCCAGAAGAAGGAAAGCGGGTGTTATTTATGATGACGGTCGTCTTTGAGTATAGAATCCAAAGGTTAGCAGTGAATATTTCGAAGACAGTAGGAAAACGTTGTTCAGGTTAGCAGGGGATATTTTGGTAAAAGTAGCAGAGCGTAGTTCTTCCTTCTGTTTCTTTTCGCCTGACAAGCTGGCACTGGACATTCGGGTAGAGTAAACAAAATGGCCGCCTTTATACACGACGGATTGAATATTCTACGTCTTCCGATTGGTTAACCTTCTATTGGTGGACTATAAATTTCCTTTGGTTTCTGGTGCCTTCTAAAATCTTGATATTCTCATTCTCTCCAAGTAATCCTTTATGTCTTTGTGGCATTATCGTCTGGCTTGGAGTGAATCAATTTAAAAAAAAAAAGTCACTCCATGGATGAGGAAAAAAAAAAGAACAAAAAAAAACAAAAACAAACAAAAACAAAACAAAAACAAGAGGCACCAGAAATGTGGTTATACAGAAGGATACTGAGAATGCCAAGGAGGGAGCGAATAAGCAACAAGGAAGTCTTAAAAATCAGGAAAGAGAGGTAAAATTCCTTGGACACATAATGAGGAAAGAGAGTTTGGAAAATTTAATGCTCACGGGGCATATTGAGGGCAAGAAAAACAGTGGACCTAAACTGCCGAGAGCTTGTGTGAATGGGTAGTGAATGGGAGGCCTTAGCAAAGCGAGGAAAAACCGCTAAGAGCCACATGAAACAGGAAGTTGTGAAGAACTTCATGAAGAGCAATATGAAGGAGGAGGAGGAGTTGTTCCAGGAATGCTTCCATAAACGGAAACGGTGCTGGATAACATGTGTGGCTACAGAGGGAGACTACTTCAAAGGAGATTAAATGCCGAATTGATATGTGTTGTAGTTTTCTTTTTATAACACCAGTCCCGATACGCGTTGATCGGCCCTAAATCTGAGACTCATGAGTCTCCCAATCTCTCCTTAAATGAAATTGAAAAAGGCCTTTGACAAGGACTGACCAAAATTAACGATAATAAAACAAATGAAAACTAAAGGCAAAGTTCACTTTCTTCAGAGTCTTCAACACGGTAGTTCACTACTACGAACAAGTAGGAAGTTTTTCTCCTGATGATGGCCATGCTGGCCGAAACTAGTTGCGGAACCTAATTTTAAAAAATAAAGCAAATATATAACTCATTGTGCCTGAAATTTTAATTTTTAAACGTTTTTATTATATATATATATATATATATATATATATATATATATATATATATATATATATATATATATATATATATATATATTGTGTGTGTGTGTGTTTGTGTTTGTGTGTGTGAATGTGTTTGTATGTGTTTGGAATGACGTGGTCGTAGAAATTGTCTGATAGCCGTGACTGGGTTCGCCTGCTTGTTGTGGCATGGTGCAGAGTCCCGTTGCCAGACATAGGGTCTTCCAGCAGCCACCCTTTTGACCCAGAGCAACACAACCTTCTCCTTGATTTAGGTCCCGTGTTGAATTTGAGACCCTGTGGAAAGATGAATGGAGGCATAACGTTGCCATCACTAGTGATCACTGCAAACACGTTCGTAATCACCATTAGACTCATCCAACTCTTTCCAAATCCTCTGCACTGTCCTCAGATTGACACCAAAACACTCTGAAAAGTTCGTATTGGAGCTTCCGGCGCGAAGGCCAAGCAGTATGGCATTTCCAATTTTCGAGAGGTGTGAACTGCGTGATGGTGCCCAACTGACCCAACTGTACTGTGTAGTCAACAAAAACGAAAACAACGCACATGCGTGAAATTAAAAATACAAAATTGTGACAATTTACCCATCGCAACACACACACAGACACACACACGCACACACAGACAGACAGACACACACACACACACACACACACACACACACACATATATATATATATATTAGCAAAGTGGAAAAAAAACTTTCGCGTGTTGCGTTTTCTCCTTCATCGGATTATTCTACTTACCAAAAATGTCACAATTGGAAGTGAAGAGTATTTATCTCAGCTTAACGTCTTGCCAACGAAGCTAGAGAGCCCAGTCTGCACTACTATTTTTCCTGTATAAAATCTGGCGGATTATTCCATACCTTTCCGAGTGTATTTGAGTGATAACGAACCAAACGGCCTTGGCTGAAAATTGAACTCCAATCGGATTTTCCACATCAATATCCGTTACGCGAAAAACATTTCACAACATTAAATCGGCCATTATCATAATGATCTGTACTTTTATGAGCCAGGGCCATCATGTGAGTATTCTCAGAAAAACATTTCAAAGAAGCAGACGACATGAGGGTCAGTCACCTCTAAATGTGACTATTCGTTGATGGATGGGATAAACAGTTGCATTTTTGTCTTGTGGGAGATTAGCTTAGGATTATAAAGAATAAATGCTAATATTTAAGTCTGACGCGTCGTCGCTACAATCAGTTTATATTTGTCCAAACAGTTTTTTTTTCTTTCTTTTCTTTCGTCTATCCTTTTTATTCCCAATCTCTTTTTTCTCTCTTTTGCTTTGGTTTTACCTTGTTCCATTTTAATTTTACCATGTTCCATTTTATTTCTTCCATTTGTATTTTGTTTCTTTTCAGATTAAAATAATGTCCATTTGTAATTCCTCTCTTTTCGATAAGCTTTTCTTTTCTCTAACTCTCTTCTTTTTCTCCGTTGTCCTATTTTAAGCTTACTCCATTTTTCTTTCAGTTTTATGTTTTTGCTTTAAAATTATTTTATATCTTAAAATGTCTTCTCTCGTTTTCTAAATGATTTGAGTTTTCCTTTTTAGCGTTTTCTAATTTTCTTTCTTTTCTTTCGCTATTCTTTTCTTTCTTTTTCCTTAGCTCACATTTTCCATTCTCTATTTTATGTTTCTCCTTTTTACGTATTTCTTTTCAGGTTTGATTTGGTTTCTTTTGTTTTACGACATATCAACTTCAATGGGTTATTTAATGCCGACAATTTTTATTGCTGGTAATATTTTTTTTTCCAAAAAATGTATTTCTGGTAATATATTATTATTTTTTTTTTTTAGAAATATATTACTGATAATAACTTTTTCCTCAAAAATGTATTGCTGGTAATAATATTTACAAAGTATTTCTGGTATTAAAACCTATTTTTACACTTTGATGGTGCTTTGACCCCATTTGGAAAATTAACTACTTGCACATAGGTGGGACCCTAACAGGTGCTACCACCCCAGATCAGGCTGGACCTGGGAACACTAGCAATTAAGAGGTGGTTCCACGCTCCTCAAAACCTCCTGATCAGAGGCCTTGCTGCTGGATGTAGTTTATCGTCTTACCCAGGACGGCTTCTTTTCATTCTAAAATTACTTATCTTCTTTAATTTTTGTGACTTCCTTTGTTTTCTGAAAATTTTATTTATTTTTCTCTTCTTTCGATAAATCTTTCTATTCTATTTTTACACTTACCGTTATATAATAATATTATATGTATAATAGGATGTATAATAGTATCCGATGATGAGACAAGGTGGAAAATTTGTAAACGACGTGTTTTGCCGAGAGCGGCGGCTCCTTTTGACTTCCTCAAGTTAGAATGAAAGAAAGACAAAACTGTATGCGAAGAAAAATGCTTTAGGATCTCTAAGCATAAGCAGTGAACAAAATCAAATTAAATAAGATTACTTTATCACCTCCAATGTCCAGACTCAAAAGGATGTCTATCCGTCTGTTTGTTTTATCAATATCAGAGACGTTTGGTGTTGTTGGATTTTAAATCAGTCCACCGAAACTAGAGAGTGTTTTTATATATATATATATATTATAATTGCTATTTTGTAATAATATGGACATTCGCTCTTGTAGTTAAGTGTAAAATTTAATTCATTTAAAAATAGATTTTTTTACAGCGAACTAAAGAATATAAAATAAATACTTGTTAATAATAGTCTTTCCAAACTATATAGTTAATGAACAAATTAGATGCTTTCTAAGAAATCTCAATACTAAGAAAATAGTACATAAAACTGCTTTTGTCTAATCTTAAACATATTAATCTCCTATATCATAATCAAATTTGCATACTTTTTATTTACAAGATGAAAATATACTAAAAAATTTCTAAATTATTTTCGCCGGAAGTACAACAGATCCAATAAAAAAAAATTAAGTTAATCATATATTACACTTCATTCTAGTATAAACAACTCAATTAATCGCAATGATTTTATAAGAGTACCCCATATATATATATTTATATAAAAATATATAATATAGTTTATAAATTTGGGAGAGAGAGCCCTCTGGGTTCCTTATATTTCAATCGATTAAATAATATTTATGTTGGTCACACCACAAACTCGGTTTCTGATGCTTGACTTTTCTTTTGGCTTGAATGATAATTTGCCTTAGGACATTTAAAACAACATGCCTGGCCGCAGGTTGGCTGATTCCGGAAAATACTTTTCTTAAAAACATATATATATATATATAAATATATAACAATAAACAAAAACTCAAAATTTTTGAAAAAAATATACATAAAACATTTGAAACCTAACCATATTATTAAAAATAAACTTATGAAAAATCTAACAAATATTCTTAAATGACTATAATCCATAAAACAGATTTTTTAGCCATTGGTTTAAAACCAACGGCTTGTTAATAATATCTTCTCAAACTCACTCTCGAACGTGATCATTCTAAGTCTCACGTCTAAAGAAAATGCGGTGAGATTTTCTTTTTGTTTATTAATCTCCTATATCAATCGATGTTGTCGTTATTTGAAATTTTTCAAATAACTAAAAAATTAGACTATAATTTATTGTTTCAATCCGTGTGTTGATTGATATATTGAAAAGTAATTAATCATCTTTTCCCCATGGCTGATGTTTCCAAAAAATCAAATAGAAAATGGATTTAAACATATATCAATATGGTGATTTTCTTTCGTTGGTCAATGATAATATTATTAATGCATATCAGACAATATGAAAGATAATTTAACTTTTAAATTAATAGAAAAACTTGTCTATATTATTCATACATATATATTAAAAACATATATACTTGTATATGAAAACAATAAAAAAAACTCAAAATAGGCATATATATAAAAGACTTTTTCGTATGCTTGTACATAAATATAAAAATTCACAATAAACAATATATAGACATCCCACAGATATATACACATACATACACACACACGTATCTGCGGGCACATATACACAATATATAGCCTTTTTATGCATACTTGTATATATATGCAACTATTTCTTATATATATCTAAATATCTATATCTCACTCCTCTCTCTCTTCTCTCTCTCTCTCTCTCTCTCTCTCTCTCTCTCTATCTATATATATATATATATATATATATATATATATATATATATATATATTTTAAGCATTACGCCCCGAGCAAGGCGTGAAGCCACTAGGATGCAGGGGGTTGCAGAAGATTTGGAGCAAGAGCACATAGGAGTGATAGAAGAAAGGATGAGGAGAGGGATAGTGGATAGATCCGGATAGTACACGATAAAATCCAAAATTCCCTGATATGGAGAATAAGCTTATTTCAAACGACGAACTTCGTCAGTCTTATTCAACCCCGGTATAGACTGAGTTCATGTCGGAATTAGAAATTTAACTGTGACAGCTACAAAAAAAAAAAAAAAAAAGAAAACCCCAAAAAACAAACAAACAAAAAAAAAACGTCTGAAAACTAATACAGGATTTATCCATTTCAATGTTTCAGTCGGTCGAAAGGCACAAGACAGTGGTCAGGAGAGGGTGAAAGGAATTAGTCATAAAGGGAAGAGGTTTTATAAAAGACTAATAAGAAACAATGCAGTTATTAATAAGAAGAGTTGAAATGAATGCATGCAAGATTTCACAGCTCTAGCATCACTCCTTCATAGTCAGCCTGTGAACTGTTCAGTCCACCTTGATCATATTGATGCCGTTCAGGGAATAGCAGTTTATATTTCGTCGCTTAAGTGAACTATTACATAATAATTTTACGTCTAAAAGATTTCCCCTTCTATCGCAGGACAGATTGAGTTCTATAGCTTTGGTTACCATCCAGTCTATTGTTGAAAGAAATGGCAACCTACTGCGGGAAAATCTTTTGCATAGTCAGTTTTGAATTGAAAGAGAAATGATAGACAAAGTGTGTATCACGTATGACACTTAAATGCCAATTTCCGTTTCAGCGATAACGTTGCAATGGTTCACAGTTATTAGCCGAGAAACATATTTAAATAAGTCACAAGGCAGATCGACATTGTCAAGTATTTAATAAAAGACGAATAGCGTTTCACAAGCATCTTCGCAAGGCTAGGAATTTAAGTAACTCTTTTTTTTCCTTATAGAGAGATTTTCATTGTCCTGATTTTAAGTAGGAGCAGACATAATTCATTTTTCTTTACTTTAACACCGAATAACAATAGGCAAAAAAGATGTCTGCAGAAATATATATATGTAGAGACGGGCAAACACTGTATATGCAGATACGTAGAGACTGGCAAAGACTGAGAGAGAGAGAGAGAGAGAGAGAGAGAGAGAGAGAGGGGGTGGCTTGACAGAGTGACATACAGACAGACGCGAACGATTCGGACTCACTGAAATGTTCAAAAATATCGACTTACGACAACACCTAATTGAAGGTTAACTTACTACCAATGGTCTGCGTGAGTCGCTTACACACTATCCCTGCCCCTCTCTCTCTTTATATATATATATATATATATATATATATATATATATATAATATATATATAAATGCGATGGATAAATTGTCGTCTAAATGAAACTAACACTGACATCTCATTTTAACAGATATATTTACCAAAGTTGCACAAACATGTCTTGAAATACGAAAGAGTAAATTTATTCAATAAAATCGTCATTGAGTTCAACCACCACCTCCAGACAACTTCGGAATCTCCTGCAACTCTTCTGGACGATCTCCTTGCTTAAGTTGATGAATGCTGCCATAATCCTTGCCTTCAGCTCATCTTTGGTGTACCATTGTTTTGTTGGTATCTTGCTCAACTGCGCCCCACACATAATAATAGTCAAGGGGTTGAAGTCTGGGGAGTTAGTTGGTCAGATGTAAGGGGTGATGTGGTCGAGAGAAATTGTCTGAAAATCATGACTGGGTTGTCCTGCTTGTGTGGCATAGTGCAGAGTCCTCTTGAGAGACATACGGTTTCCAGCAGCCACTCACTTGACCCAGGTCATTACCACCTCCTCAAAGCACTTGATGTAGGCCTCCGTGTTGAATTTGAGGCCCTCACCAACAAATTCAGAACGATCAGTGTGAGTTTTTTTTCACTGTCGTACCTTCGTAACGACCAGTAGACTCACCAAACTCTTGCCGAATCAGACGGACACCCATATACTCTGAAATGTTCGTATAGGAGCTTCCGGCGCGAATGCCAAGCAGTACAGCATATCGTTTCCAAATTTCTGCCGGAGTAAATTGCGTCATGGTGCTTATTTCTCACATACGGTGTCTAACTGATCCTACGATACTGTGCAGTCGATAAAAACAAAAGCATGCACGAAATTAAAAATGGCGACAATTTAGCCATCGCACCACACACACACACACACACACACACACACACACACACACATATATATATATATATTGATGGATCGATAGCTTGATAGATATTTATATATCATATCTTGCACAGGCATCATAAGAATATGGAATGGGGTGCAATGGATAACGGTTTGGAATGAGAAACCGGAGATTCCATTTTGAATTCCTTTCATTTACGCACAAATACCCTTGGGAAAGGTATGAATCCATCTCTTCCTTCACGTATGGGATGAATAGTAGGACAGATTGGGTTCTATAGTCTTGGTTAGAAAGAAGTCTACCGCAGAAATAAGCGGAAGTCTACAGTGGAAAAAAATTTCTGTCTAGTCAGTCCTGAATAGAAAGAGACATGATCGCCCAAGCGTGTAGCATTTTATACGAGGTGTGAAGAAACGATGAAATCAGGTATGGCTGGTCATTTGTAGATGTAAAAAGAAGTTATCAACTCCTGTGCAATGAAGTCAGAGTAATACATATAGAAGAAACCTCGAATACCACATCCCGGAAATAAACTGCAATAAATTTTCTGTGACTGGAAAGCTAGCAATTGAATTAAAAGCTCTTCTTCATTAAAAAGGAATCGTTGAGAGAGGAATTGGGCAGTATATACTGGTAAATTCCGATTCAGTGTTCGTACAGCAGTATAAGTAAATCAAGACAACACTCAACTAAGTTAATGGCCAACTCAAAGTTCATTCAAATGTCTAACAGATTACCTCCCTTGTCAGTTTTCTATATATAGACCTCTAATATTCCCTTCTCTCTTTATTTGATTTTTTGGTCTTTAATTTTAATATTCTGTCATCTACTCTGCAGTAGATAGAGTAATACTTTTATATATGGACGAAGGTAAAGGAAAAGCCTTGTCTCTCATTCATTGTGGGTCAGGTTACATGTACTTTGTAAGATCAGAAAAGGAATTGATGGATCAATTTGTTTAAGACGAAAGAGACGAACGTCGGCAAAGAAAAGGAGGAAGCAATAAAAAAAATAATTTTAGAATTATTAATGTCTGACATTGGAGGAAAATAAATAACAAGACAATCAAATCAAATGAAGGTTATTTGGAAGTAAAAAGGTCCATGAAACGGAATCCAGTTTAGTATCATTTTTTAATTCATCATACCTTTTTTTTTACATTTTTTTTTTACATATGGCCATCTTTCTATCTTTATGAAGGATTTTTATTTCATTTTTTTCAGCCCATCTCGATCTTTCTTTTCTTTTTTTTCTCACTATTTTTTACTTTCTCTGTATCTTCTACCCTTTCTCTCATACATTTTTGCTTGTTTCTTTCTTTTTATACGGATTTCATTTCATACGGCTTTTCTTTCTTTCTTTCCTTCTTTCTTTCTTTCTTTCTTTCTTTCTTTCTTTCTTTCTTTCTCAAACTCTATATTTATTGGTATATTTATTCCACTGGTTTTATGCTTCTTTCTTTCTTTCTTTCTTTCTTTCTTTCTTTCTTTCTTTTCCTTCGTTTTGTTCCTTTACAGTTTTTCATTCAATTTTTTTTCTTTCTTTTTTCCATATTTCTTTTTTTTTTTTTTTCTTTCTTTTTTCTTTTTTCTTTCTTTCTTTCTTTTTTTTCATTCAATTTTTATTTTTCCATATAGTGTTTTTTCATTTCTTTTTTCCTTATCTTCCTTTTCTTTCTTTCTTTCTTCCTTCATTTCTGTTTCTCTTCTTTCATTTCTTCCTTTCTTTCTTTCTATTTTTTCATTTAATCGTTTCTTTCTTTCTTTTGTTTCTTTCTTTCTTTCTTTTCTTTTTTCTTTCTTTTTCTTTCTTTTTCTTTTTTTTCTTTCTTTATAACAATTCTTTCTTTTCTTTTTTTTTTTTTTTTTTTTCTTTCTTTCTTTCTTTCTTTCTTTTCTTTCTTTCTTTCTTTTTATACAGTTTAATTTTTCTTTCTTTTCTTTCTTTCAGCTTTCTTTCTTTTTCTTTCTTTCTTTTTTACATACATACAGTCTTTCCAGCTCTTTTCTTTTCTTTTTTTTCATTCTTTTTTCTTTCTTTTCTTTCTTTCTTTCTTTTGTTCTTTTCTTTCTTTTTTTTTCATCATTCCCTGTTTTTCTAACTTTTTTCCACCACATTTATTTTTTATTTTCACGCTCTTTTCTTTTTTTTTAAAAAAAAAACGTCTCCAGTTGACTCCTATCCTAAACCCCGCCCGTCCGCCTCACGAATCTATTTGCCCCCCCCCGCCTTCGCTCGATTCATAGCCGTTCCTACCCTCAGCATCTTTTTTTCCTCTTCCATATTTGTGATTCCCATCGATTCAGCTCCCAAATATATTTCCGTCGATTTCGTAAACAAAATCTACATCACAAAGACGTCAAGATATTCCAGTCATAACATTAACCTTATAACGATCGGGGTCTGGATTCGTATGCGCACAGTAATGCTTAAAACAATCAAGTACAGAGGTTGAAATATCTGGAAACTGTTATAATTGACTACGGAAAATGTGACACCGAAATTTGAAGGCGCATTAGGATGGCCAAAGGTGCCTTCCAGAAGCTAAGCAAAGTATTAAGAAACAAAGTTGGTTGATTTCGTTTAGCGGCATATCAACACCTCTATGGGTTATTGTTGAAGCTTGGATAAGCATGGAATAATAATAATACAACACAAAATGTACGTAAACAAAATGTATTGAAACAAGGAAAAGGTACACAATATTTACAGTTAGTTTTGGTATATTATTGGGAAGACTGTTCCTGTAGAATGGGTTGACTTAATCGCAGTCGGGCAGAGTCCCTGGATTGGATCTCTTCTTACTTCCCCGTCTTCCCGGTACCAACCCATATTTATATGGTCGGTACTCCACTATGTAAATTAGGTGGATCGTACCACAACAGTTATTTAATGCCGAAATCTATATATTTTGTACGTAATTTTATGCTTTTAACTACAGTCAATCAGTTATGTGACATGCGTGAAACATGCTTAGGCGATCATGTATCTTTCGATACATAACTGACGGAGTAGATTTTTTTCCGCAATAGGTTGCCATTTCTTTCTGCTGTAGACCAGTTGCCATCAAAGGCTAGAGAATCCGGTCTGTCCTGCTATTTACCAATACCTGGAGGGAGAAGAAGAGGATTCGTACCTTTCAGAAGGGTATTAGTAAGTGAATTTAATGGATTCGACTGAACTCTCTGGTACAATTTGAACCTGTGTTTTTATAGAAGAAATCATCATTAGATCTGATGTGCTTTCAACAAAACAAAGTTACATAGTGCTTTTTTTAAATAATTATCCTTCTTTGGATTTTGTTGACAATCCTGAGATATTTAGACGGTGCACCAGATAGGCTAGGAATATTTGAAGGTTGTCCTGAAGGTTGTCTTATACGGACCGCAGATCCCTTGTATTTTCTCAGATAACCCCTTCACATAAGGCAGGCAGACTGTTTTCTGAGTGTTGTCGTCCTCCTCTTGTACCCGCCTATCCCAGTTAATAATGTAAATAATGTACATAATACCTCATCTCAGAAATATAGACAGATACTGAAAAATCATCGAATAGTGATTTTTAATGTTTGTAAACTGATTTGATATCATTTAAAAAAACAAACAATAATTAGGAAATCGTTTTTCCTGAGCGTTTTCCAGCAATAATGAGTGCGTAGTGATTTACAGTAGGTTGCAAATTCCTCGGTAGATATCATAAAATAGTAACATCTAATAGTCTTCAAACACAAAAGGGATACAGTTGAGTGTTTATAGCCTTCTAACTATATTTGTTTTCATCTACTGACCGGAATATCTAAGAAATCTTTTCAGAGAAAAAATATGCACTCTCTGGTAGGATTTGAACCGGTTTTCCCCTAGAAGAAATCATCATAAGATTTGACATGCTTTGACCTCTCATCTACAGAGTGCGTTGATGACCAAATAAAGTTGAATAGTGATTTTTTTTTGTTATCTTTCTTTGAATTTTGTTGACAATCACGAGAGATTTAGCCGGTGCACCAGATATGCTAGGAATATTTATTGCACGTACGAGTGGTAGATTTATAAATGTGCAAGATGAATGGCGTCGTCTGATGAATGGACCAACTCTGCCATGTCCTATAAATGCTCAGACTCATGTTAGACAAAGTCCGTGGCTACACCTAGTGGTGTCAGACGGTAATGCCTGTGATATTACTTGCACTGTAATATTACAATGCAATGCATTAAGAGTAGAAAGAAGAAAAGTTTTTTTTTTATTGGCGGTGGTTATTGTTAAAAAAAGTAGGCATAATTAAGTGGAATTGACAAAATCTTACTTATTATAAAACGCAGATTGTGTGTGTGTGTGTGTCTGTACGTTTATATATGGGATCGTATTTCCTACATTTTTCAACCGATTTCAACAAAACTTCACAGGACTACGTAAAATTACCTTGTGGTGGTTCTGACAGCGCCAAAAAAATCGGAAAAACACAATTGGTTTTGCACGAAATCAATTTGAAAACACGATTAAGAGGCATCACGAGAATGAAAAGGGGACAACTCATATCGAGTTATACTTATAAAACCCAGGTTGTTTGTGTGTGTGTGTGTGTGTTCGTTTATATATGGGATCGGATTTCCTACATTTTTTTACCGATTTCAACAAAACTTCACTTTTTTTTTTTTTGGGTAGTGTTTCTTATTGTCTTGCACACTTTTTTTTTTATTTTTACATTCAGAATGCTTTAAAATTCCATTTACAAGACAATTGTTTATAATAAAATTCTATTCAATCGGTAGACTCATAACGATTGAAAAACAATGTTTTTGTTTGAGTTTGAGTTTGACCAATTCGTAAAAAAAAAAAAAAAAAAAAATAAGACATGCGTGTCCATCAACCTTAAACAATAATCTTTGTCAATTTTATTTTTCAGTCTTTATCATGGTCGATACTTGATCTATCTCTTACTGTTACATCCCTGGGCAAACGCCGGGCCCTACTGCTAGTTCTCAATAAAAAAGAAGAATTAGGATAAAAGAAAAAAGGACAATAATAAAGTAGAAAGAAAAACAAGAACAAGAAATGAAAGTTCAGTAATATAAGTCCTGATATCTAATTCATTTTCTACTGTAGTATTAATGCATTTTCTAATATAAAAAATATTTACCAACTTTGAAGTTCAGTTAAAGGTAGAATTTAATTTCAATGAACAGTGAAAATATGTATTAAAAATCATTAACAATATTAAACATATTCAAAATTCAATTTAATGTTTGCAAAGTTATTTGACGTTTTTAAAAAATGAAATATAGTTAAAATATTTTCCAACTGTTTTGAATTCATATATTGTTAAATGTCTCGGGTTATATCAGGTTATCAAAACGAAATCTTAAAAAGCCCACAGTTATAAAAATGTGAACTTTAAAAATGTATTAAAAATGCAAATAGTATGTCAGAATAAAACTCAGAAATAAACAGATACTTTAAGGTCGAAACGTTGTAAAAATAAATCATCAAATGAGGACATTTAATGTTTGTAAATAATATTTGACGTCATTTAAAATAAACAGATACTGAAAGGAAAACGTTTTAATAAATTCTTTGTCAAAGATTAGGTCCATAATGTAAATAGTGACATAATAATCTCATAAATACAGACAGATACTGAATGTCTCGGTAAATATCAAAAACGATTAATAAATATATGTACATAATATCTTCTCAAAATAATATCGAGATACTCAAAGGCCGAAATATAAAAAATGCGAAAAGATGATATCCGAATAATGTAAATATTGTTTGGAATTAGAAATATAAATAGATACTGACTTAAATAAACGTTCGGTTCTATGTTTTGAAATATAACAACTGAAAAGGCCTCATAATACTCATCTCAGAAAACAGACAGATACTGAAAAGGTCAAAAACGTTGTTTAATAAATATGGCGAAATACAGAAAGATTTTTTTTGTTTCCGAATAATGTAAATAATGTACATAATACCTCATCTCAGAAATATAGACAGATACTGAAAGGCCGAAACGTTGTAATAAATTTAAAAGATGAGGAAATAGTCCGAATAATGTAAATTTCATAATACCTCAAAGAAATATAGACATATACTGAAAGGCCGTTGTAAATAATGTAAAAAGTGGACAATAGTCCGAATAATGTAAATAATGTACATAATATATCTCAGAAATATAGACAGATACTGAAATCTCCAAACGTTGTAAAAAATATAATTATCAAAATCCCAATAATGTAAATAATGTCATAAAAATCTCAGAAATATAGACAATAAAAAAAACGTTAAAATATGGCGAAAAGATTTCCCGAATAATAATGTAAATAATGTGTAATTTCTCATATATAGACAGATACTAAAGGCCTCATTGTCAGAAATATACAGATGAGGACAATAAATTTTTTTGAAAATAGCCTTCCAATTTAGACAGATAAATTCAGCCGAAACGTTTTAAAAATATGATTATTTTAAAGATGAGGACAATAGTCCGAATAATGTAAATAATTTACATAATACAAAAATCTCAGAAATATAGACAGATACAAGGCCGAAAGGGGCGAAAAGATGAGGACAAACTGCGTTGAAAATAATAAATCATATAGAGAGATATAAAGATTTTTTTTAAAATATGGCGAAAAGATGAGGACAATAGTCCGAATAATGTTCTTAGTGTACATAATTTTTAGATCAGATTCAAAAAAACAATGACAAAGATTTGTTTTGTAAAATGAACAAAACTTTGTTAGACAGATACTGAAAATTAGAAATAGATGAGGACAATATCCGAATAATGTAAATAATTTTTCCCCTCAAGATTAAGGATATATATATAGGCCGAAACGTTGTAATAAATAATATCTTTGTACAAATGATAATTAATTTAATTTTCCAATACCTTTCTCAGAAATATAGACAGATATGAAAGGCCGAAACGTTGTATGAAATATACGACAAAAGATGATCGAAAAGTCCGAATAATGATAAAAATAGACATAATACCTCATTCTTATTTATAGTAAAGAAATGTTATAAAAATTAAAAAAGATCCAAGTTCTCTATGTTTGATATAAATCATGTTTTGTATTTTTCAATTCCGAATAATTTAATCTTCCCAACTCAAAATATAGACAGATACTGAAAGGCCGAAACAATATATATATACAAAGATGAGGAAAATAGTCCGAGTTGTAAATACCTATAATAAAAATATATATACTGAAAGGCCGAAACGTTTTTAAAAATATAGGATTTAGTCCGAATAATGTTATGAATAATTCATCTCAGAAATATAGACAGACATAGTCATATTTTCATGGAAAATGCCTCTTAAGGCGAAAACGGGTTCTCCAAGTTCTTGTTTGATTCATAAAATATTTTTTTTATATCCTCACACACACACACACATATATATATATATATATAGTGTATTCTCAGAACATTTTAAAATGTCTTTGTATATTCTCAGCACTGGAAGCTCTCCTGGCTGCCGTTTGATCTGGGTTTTCTTTCCTTGCTGCAACCTTGGCTCTTTTGATTGCAATTTGGTCCTTTATTGGCAGAGATTTCTTTTTGTGAGGCATACTGCTGCCATATATGATAGGCAATAATATTTAAGCTTACTTTTTAAAAGGTCAACAATAATTCTTCTGCTGCAACTTAATTTAAAAACAATTTGATTTAGATAGGTCCTTACTTTCCATACAAACAATTACTTTTATTTTCATTCTATTGCAGATGTATTTTTCAAATACAATTTTTGTAATAGATCAAAGATGATTGAGACTTCATATAATGATTGCCATAATTTTGAGTTGATATATTTTCCATTAGCTTAAAAAAAACTATCCTGTTTTTAAAAATTAAGCCAGCTCAAAAAGAGAGCTTTCAATTGGGAAAATAGTTTTGTTCAGGAGTTTGAGAGTCCCTAAACTTTGCATATTCTCAGCATTGGGAGCTCTCCTGGCTGCCGTTTGATCTGTGTTTTCATTTGCACGTGACTTTCTTTTCTTCACCGCAGACTTGGCGCTTTTGATTGCAATTTGGTCCTCTGTTGGCGGAGATTTCTTTTTGCCAGTCAAACTGCTGCCGTATGCGATAGACAAAAATAAACTACAAAAGAACTCAAAATTAATCGCAGTATTTAGGTATTGTATTAATATTAAAGCGTATCTTTTAAAAGGTTAACGACAATTCTTCTGTCGCCACGTAATTTAAAGAAAATTTGATGTACGTAGGTCCTTACTTTTCGTACACAAAAATTACTTATATTTCATAGGAGACTTTCGCTGAATTTTGCAATTAATTTAAATTATTTACAAATTTATTTATTAGTTAAAAAAAAAAAACTTGTAAAAAATACTTCGTCGTGAAAAATGATGTAAAAAATCGCCAAAAACAATCGCATTAATGAAAACTTGGGAATCCAAAATTTCAGGGTTGGGGATCTGGATCCGCACCGGAATGTTTTTAATTTGTTCACGGAGTCGGTCTGATTCTAAAATGGTATGATATATTGGGCTATGGCCTCTAGGAATAAAGTTGAAAAAGTGTGACACAATGACATTCGTATTTATTTAGTGACGCCATAGATACCCAAGTAGGCATCTACGCGGACGACACCACAATTTACTCCTGCCTCAAAAACAAACCTAGTGTCGCTGACAAAACTAACCTGGCCGTTTATCTCGAAAAGGACCTCCAAGCGGTTGTAAACTGGGGCTGGAATAGGCTGGTTAACTTTAACGCCTCAAAAACAAAAACTGCTCTCTATTAATCACCACAGATCCTCCCCCCCCTTAGAATCACATTGTCTGCTGACCTGAGGTGGAACAAATACATTGAGTCAATTGCTTCGTCCACCGCAAGGAAAGTTGGCTCCCTGTGCCGCGCCAGGAAATTTTTCTCCCCGGAATCGATCCTTCAAATCTACAAATCAACCATTCGCCCTTGCATGGAGTATTGCTGCCATATATAGTCTGGAGCCTCTTCTGTTTTTCTCAAGGTCCTTGATCCAGAGACGGATATGCAATGTAATTGGCCCTGATCTAGCATCTCGTCTGCAGTCGCTCTCTCACTGACGTGCCGTCGCCTCCCTCTGTCTTTTTTACAAATACTATTATGGTAATTGCTCCGATGAGCTGCTTGCGCTGGTTCCCAGACTTCATGAATTTAAGCGTTCTACTACGCTGGCATCTCGCTCTCACCCTTTCACTGTCGAAACTGTTAAATGTAGCCGTTTCTTCTACTCAAATACCTTCATATCTCGCACCTCTCGCCTGTGGAACTCCCCCCTTTTCCTGTTTCCCTGATAGCTATAACCTCCAACTATTCAAATGTAATGTCAATTGATATCTCCAGTTGCCTTGATCTATCCCCTATCCTTCTCTTCGTCCTTTCCTCTATCACTCCTCTTTGCTCTCGCTCCAAATCTTATGTAACCCCTTGCTTCCAGTCTTGCTTGGGGTGAAATGCTTATATATATATATATATATATATATATATATATATATGTAAAAATATATTTTTTATATAGTAATATATTCGTATATATTTATCATGTTTATATATACTCTTGAAAGTGCTACTATCGAATCTTATCAAAATGCTAAATTTTTAAAAAAATAATTCTTGAAAGATATCCTCTTTTCCTTCTTTTAAGTGCCGTGTCTCTTCAGGATGTATAACAGACATGGCTCTCCACTTCTCCCTAATTAAATTTTCTCAATTTTTGTCTTTTTGTCACTTCTCCCAGACCTGTTTTGCCATCCACTTGTCTAAGCCTGTTAAATAAGTCATTTTACTTTCCTTGTTCTCTTTTGTCTATCCGTATATGTGAGTATGGATTCTCCACGCCTTTCTTTCTCATTACGTTACAATTTCAAATAAAGAAACCGGATGTTAAGTATAAGTTTCCTCTTTCTTTGGATCCTCTCCAAAACATCATCGTTGCTCACATTTTCGGTCCATATTATCCTCAGCATCCTTCTGTAGAACTTAAACGGTAAAATCAATACCTTCTATTATTTAAAATAAATAAATACATAGATAAATCATCTAATTGAAATAAAAAATAATAATTGCATAAAAGTTAATAATAATAACAACATTGCCTCATTTTCGTTTATTAAACATTAAACTATATCACTTAGCATCTCCCATAGTTTACCTTGACTTTCAAAGTTAGGCTGAAGAATATTCATAAGCGTTCTTAAATTTAAAAATTTGAAAATCTAAAGATCTTTGTGCTTGTTTTTATGAATACTTGTTGCAAAATAAAAAATGTTTACATTTACCAACGCGTTTCGTCCATCACAGGACGAATTAAAAAAAAAAAAAAAACCGCTCCAAAATAAGGTTGTTAGCAATTAAAAATTTACAGAGATTTTTTTTTTTTAAAGAGAATAAAGAGGAAAGGATGAAGAGAAGGTTAGGGAATAGATTCAGGGCATCTGGAGATATCGATTGACATATTAAATTTGAATAGTTGGAGAGTCCTAGCTATCAGGGAAGCATTAAGAGGAAGGAGTTTCAAAAGATTTTCAATGTGAGACATGAAGCTATTGGAGTAGAAGAGACGGCTACATTTAACCGTTCCGACAGTGAAAGGGTGGGACTGAGATATACATATGTGTGTATGTGTTTGACTTTATACATGTATATGTAACTGATAATATAGGTTATTTTGCGTACACCAACGTGCGTTCGTATAATATTCTCTCCAAGAGAAATATAAATGAGACATATTTAAAGAATTGTGTTTTGATCTGAGTGGGCTGGAATATTTATCTGCCAAAATGTTTCTTTATTCCTTGTTTATTCTCTGTAAAATATTAATGGAATATTTTCTGGATTCCATTAACTGTAAATACAAAATGATCATTATATATATATATATATATATATATATATATATATAATGTGTGTGTGTGTGTGTATGTTTTTTTTGCGTGGTCATAATTTTGATGTAAGAAAAAAAGAGGTTTAAACAAAAGCATCAAATCGAGGAGAATTAAATTTAAAAAAGAAGAGAGAGTTTTTTTCTTGGAGAGAAATCAGAGAGAGAAAATTATTTTAGAGAGAGAAGGGGGATAGATGAAAGAGAGATAGAGAGAATAAGATAGAAAGAAAAGGGTAGGGAGGAGAGTAGCAGTGCCGAGAGAGAGAGAGAGAGAGAGATCAAACAGAAAATAAAATTAAAGAAAATAGAGAGAGATATGATAAATATAAAAAAAAAGGAACTTAAAAGTAAGAAAGAAGAAAGAAGTATTTCTGTCTCTCTGTGTGTGTGAGAGAGATTGAGAAAAGGTAGTAGAATTGTTGAAAGAGAACAAGCAGAGAAAATTATAAAAATGAATCAGAGAGAGAAAAAAAACATTTTGAGATTTTAGGAGGAGGTGAGAGAGAGAAAAAATATAAATAAGAGAGGAAAGAAAGAGAGTAAGAAATAAAGTAGAACCTGCGAGAGGGAGAGAGAAAAGAGATTAAGAGAGGAAGAGAAAAAAAAAAGAGAAAGAAAAGTAAGAATGAGAGGAAAGAGAAATTTTTTCAGGCATCAGAAAGAGAAAAAAGAAAAAGAATTTTTCAAAGGAGCAAGAGAAAGTAAAATCCGTGAGAGAGAGAAATAAGAGAAAGATAAAAGGGAAGAGAGGAGAGAGGGAAAAGAGGGGTAAAAAGAACCCAAAAACAAGGAGAGAGAGAGATTAGAGAGAGAGAGAAAAGAGAGAAAAGGGGATGAGAAAAGAGAGAGATCCTTTAGATTCCTTAAAGTAGAACCATGAGAGAGAGAGAGAGAGAGAGAGAGAGAGAAAGGGAGAGAGAGAAAGAGAGAGAAAGGGGGAAGAGAAGAGAACAAAAGAGATGAGAAGAAAGTATCATTACAAAAAATTTACTTTTGAGAGAGAGAGAGAGAGAAAAAAGAGAGAGAGATAAAAAAAGGATTCATCTTTACCATTTAGAAAGAAAAGGGAAAGAGGAGAGAGGGATAGAGATGAAAGAATTTGCAAGAATAGTAGAACCTGATTTTAGAGAGAGAGAGAGAAGAGAGAGAGAAAAGAGAGAAAAGAGAGAAAAGGGGAAGAGAGAGAGAGAGAGAGAGGAGATGAGTAAGAAATGAAAGAGAGTAAAGAGAGATTTGAGAGAGAGAAATTTTGAGAAGAAAGAGAGAGAAAGGGGGAAGAGAGGAGAGAGAGAGAGAGGAGATGAGTGTAAGAAATAAAGTAGAACCTGCGAGAGAGAGAGAGAGAGAGAGAAAGGGAGAGAGAGAAAGAATTAAGAGAGAGAGAGAGAGAGAGATGAGTGTTAGATAAATAAAGTAGAACCTATAGAGAAAGAGAGAAAATTATCTCATAAGAGAGAGAAAGGGGGAAGAGAAGAGCGAGAGGATATGAGTATATAAATAATGTATAACCTTATATAGAGAGATAGAGAGAGAGAGAGAGAGAGAGAGAAAAGGGAAAGAGAGGAGAGAGGGAGGAGTTGAAAGAGTGTAAGAAATAGAGTAGAACCTGCGAGAGAGAGAGAGAGAGAGAGAGAGAGAGAGAGAGAAAGAAAAGGGAAAGAGAGGATAGAGAGAGGAGTTGAAAGAGTGTAAGAAATAAAGTAGAACCCCCGTCCTTCTCTTTATCTTTTCCTCAAACCCCCTCTTTACTATTGCTCTCACTCTTTGTAACCCCTTGCATGCTAGTAGTCGTCCAAGAACGGGTATTAATAATCGTCGTCCCACGAACGCGTGCTTGTGGTCGTGTCCAAGAATGTGTACTAGTGATCGTGGCTAAGAACGCGTGCTAGTGGTCACGAACGCGTTTAGTGGTCACGAACGAAAATTTTTAAAAATAGAAGACGCGTGCTAGTGGTCGTGGCCAAAAACGCGTGCTGGTGGTGGTGGACAAGAACGGGTAAAAAAAAGACGAACGCGTGCTAGTGGTCATGGCCAAGAACGCGTGCTCGTGGTCGTGTCGATGAACGTTGCTAGTGGTCGTGGATAAGAACGTGTGCAAATGGTCGTGTCCAAGAATGTGTGCTCGTGTTCGTGGCTAAGAACGCGTGCAAGTGGCCGTATCCACGAACGCGTGCTAGTGGTCGTGGCCAAGAACGCGTGCATGTGGTGGTGGCCAAGAACGCGTGCTGGTGATCGTGCCCAAGAACGGGTGCTAGTGGTCGTGGCCAAGAATGCATGCCAGTGGTCGTGTCCAAGAACGCATTATATTATGGCTCTGACATTAAAGTTGTGCTTGTTGAGTGTGTCTGCTGGGAACTGTGTGTGTCGACATGTTTAATATAGTCCTAATAGAATTTAAATCAGGGAGTCTCGAGAGATCTTTAGGGTATTTGGAAGTCGGACGAAATTTTTCCGGGACTAGTATTGTGTCACCCCTGTAGAAAGGGGATATTTATTACAACGGAAGACCAAACCATCTCTTTAGAGAAACAATAGCGTAAAGTGGGATCAGGGCAAGATTTAACTTTCATTTTTGTCCCATTTGTTGATTATAGTACAAACCGCACCTTTGTTTGCATATCAATTAATTCAGTGGGATTTTTCTCAAGACGTAGGAAGAGACAGTTGAAATTTCTTGGGTACATAATGAGGAAAGAAGGTTTAGCAAATCTGATACTCGCAGGACTGATTGAAGGCAAGAGGGAAAGAGGAAAACAACTCATTTGAATCTTATTTCTTATTTTTTTAATTATTAATCATGTCACTTATGACAAAAGTTGTGGTTTAGCAGTTTTAATTGTAAAGTGTTCCACTGGTTTGTTTTAGTTTGTCTTACGGTATATCAACACCTCAATGGGTTATTTAATGCCGACAAGATTTTTATTGCTAGTAATATGTTTTTCAAAAATGTATTAATAGTAATATTTTTTTTCAAAAAGGTATTGCAGGTAATATTTTTTTTCGAAAATGTATTGCTGGTAATATTTTTTTCAAAAATATATATCTGGTAATAATGTATTGCTGGTAATAATTTTTCCTTAAAAAATCATTGCTGGTAACATTTTTTTTTCAAAAATTCATTGCTAGTAATACGTTTTGTACAAATATGTATTGATAGTATTAAAACCTATTTTTACACTTTCATAGTGCCTTGAAACTAGTTTGGGGGAGTTTACTACTTGCCTAGAACCGGAAACCCAATAGGTGCCACCACTCCGGGCCAGTGTGTATCTGGGAACACCAACAACCAAGAGGTGGTTCCACGCACCTCAGAGCTTCCCGATCAGAGGCCTTGCTGTTGGATGTAGCTTATCGCCTTTACCCTGAAGGTGGATATAATTTATCATCATACCATTGGTGGACGTCCCATTGGTGGGGGGCTCTTACCCCTCTGCAGAGGCGCAGTCAGCGTATTCTACAGTCCAGCCGACCATATCAAAGGCGTTTGAGTTTATCAGTTTATTGACTCAGTTGCGAAAGAACGACAACAAAAGTCTTTTTCGTGTTACAAGAACCAAGGTTGCGAATAAGATGCATTCTTGGTAGAAATTTAAAAAAAATGCTGTCCAACATTCCCTAAATATTGTTCGGTGTGACAGATACTCAAGTTTCGTGGCAATTTGATGGCAGAAGTTGATAAAAGACAAATCACCAAACCTTTGAGGCGACATAGGTTCCGCTAGGTATTCACCACCCCCTGTTGGTGGGGCCATTCATGGCCTTAAAATCAGCCTGGGCACATCCCCCAGTTGTTGGGGCCATTCATGGCTTTAAATTTAGCCTGGGCACGCTGACACATTGCTATTCAAAAATCATACCCATATTGTTGGGGCCATTCAGGGTCTTAAATTTAGCCTGGGCACGCTGACACATTGTTATTCAAAAATCATCCCCCTGTTGTTGGAGCCATTCATGGACTTAAATTTAGTCTGGGCGGTCTGCCACATTGCTATTCAAAAATCATCCCCATATTGTTGGGGCCATACATAGTCTTAAATTTAGCCTGGGCACGCTGACACATTGTTATTCAAAAATCATCCCCCTGTTGTTGGGGCCATTCATGGACTTAAATTTAGCCTGGGCACGCTGACACATTGCTATTCAAAAATCATCCCCCTGTTGTTGAGACCATTCATGGACTTAAATTTAGCCTGGGCACGCTGACAAATTGCTATTCAAAAATCATCCCCCTGTTGTTGGGGCCATTCATGGACTTAAATTTAGTCTGGGCACGCTGACACATGGCATCAGCTCCATTCGTGGTGACTCCAGTGTTGGGTCCACAAAGTTTTGAGTGAGGTTGACAGTGGTAGGGTTAGGGTTAGGGTTAGTAAAAGCGCCGCGTCGGGTTAGCGCTTATAAAACAAATAAACATTTATGTTCTAGCAGCCTATTCAACCAACCCAGAAGAACATGAGATATTTGGGTAGATTTTACAGCTTCGATATAATGTTGCCTGAAATGATAAATAATTGGAAACGCGGCTCCATTGACAGGTAAATATTAATCCACAGTTTACATATCTTAAAAGGAACAAAACTAACGGAAAAGTCCTCGATGTTTGTATTCGTTTAACATGTATTTTGTAAGAACGAAGAACTTCGCAAGTTGTCTTTTCTGTTTAATTTCCTCTCTTTTTCTTGAAGCATCTGTATGTAATCATTTACTTTACAAAAAGGAAAATGATCTTTTGAAAAAGAGGCACTAAATTCGCAGCAGGTGATTGAATCAGCTAATGTTTTATTAGAACGTTATTAAATAAACTCCAACTGTTGGTCTCAGCTGGCGTTGCATTCTGGGTATTTTTTCGAGAAGTGGATTCGTGAAAAGCAACTTATTCAACGGAAACGTATAAGAGGACATGTTAAAAAAAAAAAAAAAGTCAAAAGCGACAGGTTTTTATAACGATGTGAGATTGCCCGGAACCACTGCGGACAAAGATCCATCATTTGGCTCGTATTTTGTTTAAATATATTATCTTTTTATTTCATATGCTAGTTGTGTTGAAATATATGACTTCTTAAAAAAAAAGACAAAGTACGAACGATTCAGAAGTGTTTAATAACGGAGAAATTTTCACTAGAAAAATCGACAAAATATAGGATAGAAATCTGACCCCCAAGAGAGAAAACTTTATTGTGACGTCAAATTTCACGTTATGGAGCGAGCATCAGATGCATCAGCGAACCAACTGAAGATCATTTCATAGAGTCAAACTTAACGTTTTGAAATTGGCTCAAACGCACACATACATATATAGAGGGCGTGATGTGTAAATTGTGGCCATATTTTATTTTTAATTTCGCGCATGCGCATTGTGTGCTTTTGATTTTGTCCAATGCACAGTATAGTAAGGTCAGTTGGGCATCGTCTGTGAGAAAAAGAGCATCATGACGCAATTCCCTCCGCCAGAAATTTGGAAACGATATGCTGTACTGCTTGGCATTCGCGCCGGAAGCTCTAATACGAATATTTCACTGTGTTTGGCTGTGAATCGGAGGACAATGTAGAGGATTCGGAAAGAGTTTTGTGAGTCTAATGGTGATCACGAAGGTGTTTGGAGTGATCCCTAGTGATGGTGACATTATTCCTTCATTCATTTTCCCACAGAGACTCAACAGAGAGGCCTACATCAAGTTCCTTGAGGAATTACTGCTGCACTGGATTAAGACGGTGGTTGCTGGAAGATCCTATGTCTGGCAACAGGACTGTGCATGATGACACACAAGCCGGAAAACACAGTCATAGCAGTCAGACAATTTCTGAGACCACATCCCCTCTTACGTCTGGCGACCTAACCCCCTTGATTTTGATGTGTCGAGCGCAGTTGAGCGGGAAAACAACAAAACTTCTTTATAACAACAAATATGAACTGACAACATTCACCAGCTTAAACAAGGAGATCACCCAGAAGAGTTGCAGGAGATTCTGAAGTCGTCTGGAATCCGTGCTTGAAGCCACTGGCGATTTTGTTAAATAAATTTACTATTTAGTATATTAAGTTAATTTGTGTTATTTTGGTAAATATATCTGTTAAAATGAGATGCTAATGTTAGTTTCATTTTTTCTGTAATTTAGACGACCATTTATCCATCCATCGCATATATATATATATATATATATATATATATATATATATGAAAAGTGTATATAAATTTAAATAAATATATATATATAATTATTTATATATTATATATGCGGTACTTATTAGAAAGCGCTCAATATCAGAGATAGAGCTAACATATTTGGTTGGATAGATGTGAGTTTGTGACCCTGGGTTTCACGCTTTTAGCGATCGTCAGACAAACTGATTAATGTTTTAAAAAAATTGGGTTTATGTAGATTGCGTGCATTGGTGTTATTGTGGAAGTGGTGGGGAAACTTCGCAATCTACATAAACCCAAATTTTTAAAACATTAATCAGTTTGTTTGACGATCGCTGAAGCGTGAAACCCTGGGTCATCAAACTCACATCTATCCAATCAATATATACGCGCAAAGTTAACGAAGTGAGGAGGTGAGGTGGAGAGAGAGAGGATATGAGTGTGTCATATGTATCATTTTAGTTTCCTATTTTAACCCCAGTGTGTCGGCTGGATGTGGCTGGATGTTGCTCAAATCTAACGCGTCTCTAGATAAAGGTGGTTAAGGGGTGAGCGATAAGGGCTACATTAAGGAAGAAGCGTTACAACAGCCCCAATAAATTACACGACAGGTTTCATTCAAATTCTTAGACGCTGTCAGTTCGCGTTACTTTAACGTGCATATTTGGGAGGTTAAGGTTTGATAAATATCTAAAATTTTAAAACAATCTACGAAGAAATTAATTTGAAATTCGGTGGAGGTCCGTAAAAAACGTGTGAATTTCTTTTCATTCTTCATTTCAGCTTTTGGAAGTAAAGTCTGATGATCCAGAACCCTGTTAAAGGGGTTATGGTGAAATAGCTTATTACATGGAATCTTAACGTGGTCTGTCTTTTATTCAAATATATATATATATATATATATATATATATATATATATATATATATATATGAAGAAATATAGTCTTAAGGTGTGCTATATTTATGCGATAAAGCGGTCAATATCAGAGATAGAGCGTGTGTAAATATAAAAAAAATATAGAAGCCAACACTTAGAGGCGACAGCCTGTTTCATGCCTCTAAGGGTTGACTTCAATGTTCACTTACACACACACACACACACACACATATATATATATATATATAAAATGCATGTTGAGTTCAAAACCCAGTGGTGACAGTCTGTTTTATGCTTAAAGGCAATCTTCAGGACGTGTTTTTTGTGTTTTGAGTGAACGTGAACGGTTATACTAAGGGGCTATTGCGTAGAAATAATATATATATTATTTCTTTCGATTTTATGAATCTGTTGTGCATGTTTGTTTGTAAGAGCATTAATTTTGTTAAGAAAGGTGAAATAGGGAAAAAAATGATGGATACATCAACACAGATATAATGACAATATTCTCCACACGTGACAATCTCTGACGTTATTTCTCATTTAAAAAATATGAAAATAGCGTTTCTCTACATTCCAGTTGCTAGGTACATTCTGTTTTTGTTTTTATTAGTTACGTGGTTCATTTAATTTCATTTTCGTATTTTGCTTTGATAAAGTCCACATTGGACGAAACGCGTCAGCAATTATCAGTTTTCCTATTGTCATTTTTTCATTCATAATATTGTCTTCTACCCGATTAAATCGGAGAAATTTTCATATATATATATATATATATATATATATATATATATATATATATATATATGAATGTATGCATGCATGCATGTTTCATTAAAAACGACTGACAAGGTACTACGATTAAGCTTTTTAAAAATTTTGCTTGTGTTCGAACAAGTGTTTTTTTTTTTTCCGGGTTAAAAAAATGTACACAGAGTGTGTAGAAAATGCACAAATGAATTCCGTTTGATCAGGAGCACAGTTCCTTAAGGGGCATTTGAACTCATAGATAATGTTCGTTCTTTGTAATTATAATTTTGCTGGTGTGTTGTTATTTTTGAGGTTAAGGTTAGCTAAATTTTTTGTAGTAGATAATTAATTTGATATTTTTATTCGGGTTAAAAGGGGTAGTGTATTTCTTAATGATATTTCTAAGTGAAGATTCATCTTGTTCGTAGCTAATGTGCATTTGGTTTTTGTAGAAAATATGTTATTTTTGACTGTATTTTCACTATCATTGTTATTTACTTGAGAGAGAAATAGACTAATCTAGTGGCCTATAAGGTGGTTATGGAAGCCATTTTTAATTAGTGTCTGTTTTACATTATTGAGTTCTTTAATGAATAGTAGCTCAATTAGGACCCATTTAAACAAAGACAAAAACTTACCAAACTCTATCCGAAACATACTAGTAGAAAATACAAACATAATCACCTCATCCACATGTTAAAGAAGATTAAAAATAATGGAAGCCTTAATAATAACAAAGAAAAAGCCAGCACATAATAATATAATCTACGAACACGGCCACAATGTGCTAACCGTGTTCGGAAAATAAAAGATCTCTATAACACTAAAAATATACACACAACACACAAACCCAATTATAGTGAAAAATAAAAGCATCCTTGATAATGGCTAAAAGTATAGCCAAAACGTTCGGAGTTATAGAACATTTGGACAGTTTCTACACACACTGTGTTCAAAATACAATAATAATAATAATAATAATAATACGGCAATCCCTGCTGACTGCAATGTATCTTTGAAGATATTCAAAAAGCTGTCAAAATACAAGGACTTTGAAATAGAAATCTCAAAAATGTGGCACATGGGAACATCAACAATCCCTGTTGTAATTGGAGCCCTGGGATTAGTCGGAAATGATTCCAGTAGACTAATTGAAGGGATTCCTGGAAGTCTATGCCTCAAAGAGACACAAAAAATTGTTCTCACAAGTACAGCCCACACTTTACGGAGGGCCTTATCTATGTATTTTTTTTTGTCAGTGGAGAGTGTCATGATGCCATTTCTAACCTTAGGACCCTGGGCGGGATCCGGAAAGAAATGTAAACGCCAGAAATCAAAGGAAATAATAATAAAAATAATAATAATAATAATAATCGCTGTCTGAGTTAAAAATTACATTCTTCGGCAGGTGAGATAAAATTTTATATGCGAATTTGAAGCTTAGATGAGTGAAAGAATTGTCATGGCTGAAAGAATCGTCATGGCTGAAAGAATTGACATCTTGTCTAGTTCTTATTTTTTTCAGTTATTGCTAGCTCGTTACCACTCAGTGCAAATACGCACTGCCCGACCCAGGGATTGAACTACTAAGTCACCAAATTCACATACCAACGTTTTATAATCTAGACCATTGCAGAAATTAGAGGTTATTGTCTTGCTGAAAAAAAATGTAAATCGATTTGGGGTAGCCAGGTTAGTCGACCGGTTGTAGAAGTATTAGAAATTAAAGTTTCTAGTAGAAAGTTGGTTTGGGTTGGTTTGTTTTACGGCTTGGTTTGGTTTGGTTTGTTTTACGGCATATCAGCCTCAGTGGGTTATTTAATGTCGTCGAGATTTTTAATGTTGATAATATTCTTGTTCAAAAATACATTGCTGGTAATATTTTTTCCCAAAATATATTGCTGGTAATATTTTTTTGCCAAAAATATATTGCTGGTAATATTTTTTCCAAAGATATATTACTTGTATTTTTTTTCTAAAATGTATTGCTGGTAATAATTTTTACAAAAAGTATTTCTGGTAACAATTTTTAAACTCAAAAATTCATTGCTGGCAATAAGCCTTTATAAAAATGTATTGCTGGTATTAAAGCCTATTTTGACACTTTCATAGTGTTTTGACCCTAGTTTGGGGGTTAACTATTTGCCCATACTCGTCTTACCCAGAAAAGCTGGAAAGTTAGTAAAATTTGGGAAAAAATATGAGAATAAAGAAAACTACAATTAGAAGGAAAAGATATTATTTATCGATATTTTCGATTAAGGTTGATAAAATTGTGCGATGATAAAAATTAAACAAAAGATATGTATACGGTATCGGATCAAAATATATCGGGAGTGGGTGCTTAAAAAAGAAAACTACAACAGATATAAATTCAGCATTTAACCTCCTTCGAAGTAGTCACCTTCTGAAGTCACATTATCCAGCGTCGTTCTCATTGTTGGAAGTATTCCTGGAACTCCTTTTTTGGGATAGGGAACAGCTTATTCGTTGCATGTTCTTGGATTTCCTCGACGTCTGTTGCCTTTCCAGTGGGATTTGATTTTTGGAAAGAGGTTAAGTCGCAATGGGGTGAGATCAGCGTGATATGGTGGTTGCCGGACCTGGGGAATGTTGTCGTTGGCCAAAAACTGCTGCACAAGCTGAATGAGCAGGTGAGTTGTCATGGTGGAGTTGTCATTCACCGGATGCATATAATTCTATCCTTTTCTGACGAACAGCATCTGGCAAACGCCAGAACACGTGACGGTAGTACTTCTTGTTTACTGTCTGACCGGGTGGTGCATACTCATGATGGACACTGCCCTCAACAGTGTCTTCACATTGCTTCGATTCATTCGTGACTTCTTCAGTCTTGGAGAGGTTGGAATCTTCCACTGAGCCTTGGTTTCGGAGACATAGTCATAGAACCACAGTTCTTTATGAGCGTTTTCAAAACGCTTTCTATGGTGCAGTCAAACTACCACACTCTACATTGCTTCCAAGCACTCCTATAAACAACAGAAATGAGCGAATCCGTTATAAATTACTGTGCATACGCAACCGAGTTCAAGGTCAATCTGTGCCAAGCGGCTCCACTCTGCATGCTTTAGTTGTAACCATAGCAACAGTCCCTATACTTCTTGATCAGGACTCGTAAAAAGAAAACAAAACGGCAGTTTATAAATGATTTGTGTCCTTTGTTTAAAGCTTCCATAAAAAGACTAATGACAACAACCGTCATAATAATTATAAAAATAAGATATTTTCAGAGACGGAACTTCCTAGAGTAGAACATTTGGAATGCAGATCAAGTTCGAAACGAACAATAAGACACGCACCTAAATAGGTTAACCAAAAAACCATAACCCCTTCCCCGGCGTAGACGTGTATATACGTTTTACCGGCAGTGTTTTTACATCTACGGACGAATAAACCCGTCCAAATCATAAAGTTAAAAAAACACCTATTTTTATACGTCGATCTTGATTCATTTTATGACCTTCTGAGCTGGAAACGAGTCCAAATATCAATTCATATGTCCGGTCGTAGTGTTAGTTACCGCTCGGGCACTTCTGGGTTGCCTCAGTTTTTTAGGTACTATATTAAAAACAAATAAAAAATTCACCTCAAAATGAAACGTTTTTCCCAAAATAATTTGAGGGAAGTTAAAACTAGTCACAGTTTGGATTGAAATTTCGAAATTTCAAACGAAAGCATGAAAAAAAATCCCAGCTATATGTAGGATTCGAACCCAGAACAGAGGCCCACCTCCTAAACAAGCAGCATTGATTTTATCAGTTGGCGTCACAGATTATTTGTAGATATTTACTATCCTCTGTCAGAAATTGAACCGCGCCCTTTTTACACTCCCAAAAAAGACTCAAGTGTGCGCATTCCTGAGACTGGGGCTTGCTTTGAAAAATGCATATTTGCTTCCTGATAAACATCACACCTAACTGCATGAGACAAGACACTTAAAATTCACAACACAACAGAAGGAAGAGATATCAGTTGAAACCCATAAAACGAAAAGTAAACTTCGCAAATGGCGACATCTTGATAAGATAATCTTGAAACTAACGGACTAATGTTTCTTCGAGATTCAGAACTTCATCCCAAACTCTACCGAAGCATCAGTTCTCACAAAATCACTGAAGGTAAGCAACGTCGAGCCTGGTCAGTACCTATATGAGTGACCGATTGGGAGTACCCGCTTCTGTAAGTTTGTAATGGATAACGAGTTGGTAATCGGAGAGTCAAGTTACAATTCCAGTCTAGTTCGTTATATTCACTTACACTTGAGAAAAGAATTTTCGATGTCTTCCCCCCCTAACTATGGGTTAATTAGTAAGACTTGTATCAGTAGATACTTATTATCTTTTATTTACAAAAAAAAAATTCTGGCTTTAAATAAGCTACACCAGTTTTCGATCGATTAGCGAAGTGAAACAACATCGAGTCTGGTTAGTACTTGGATGGGTGACCGCTTGACAATACCACGTGCTGTAGGTTTAGATGTGAGAGTGGTGTAATGGATAACAAGTCGGAATGAGAACTCGGAGAGCCGAGTTTGAATTCTGATTGGGTTCCTTATGTTCCTTTGGGAAAGGTATTAGTCATCATCTTCTACCCCCCCCATCTATGAGTTAAATAGTAGGATTTGTATGTGAAAAAAATATTACTATCTTCTAGAAGTTGTTAATACAGTGTTCACTGGAAAAAGGAATTTTGCTTACAACCCCAAAATATGTTTCGGCTTTAAATATCCTTCAAAAGGTTGATAAACCGTAAAAAAACGAATCCCTCCATGAACCAAAATCCTATAACATGGCTGTTAGACAATTTCTGCGACCACGTCACCCCTTATATCGAAAGTGCACAATAAATAATTAAAAATTCGAACAAGCGGTTATATTCCTCTTCAGGTCATGGACAATTATGGTTCTCCACAACTTCCTGTCTTTTGTAGTTATAAATAAGGTTTGTTTCTATGCAACTGCCAATCTCTATTCTGCCATTCATTTACTCGTTACCTAATTGGCTGTTTTCCTTTATTTCTGTTGCCTTCAGTTTGTCATGTTAGTGTCAAATTCTCTAAGCCTCCTTTCCTCATCATGTACCCCAGAAAATTCAACTGCATCTTTCTGAATTTAATTGCAACTGTTGTTTTAGTTTCCCTTTCTCCGTCCATGATATCCTCAATATCCTTCTGTAGAGCGACATCGGCAAGGGAATTGTCCAGCATTGATTGTAATATAGGAGGATTGGTATTACAGTTCAGTAGTCTCTGTTTCTAACAATATTTCCTCTTTCTTAATACTTTGCTTAGCTTTTTGAAGGCATCTTTCATTGTTTTAGCGCGTTTTTCGAATTTTATACCACATATTTCGTCGTCTCCCAGAAACAAAAGTGGGAAACACTGTTTAAAAAAGAGGACAAAGTCGGGTATATAGGACAAATCTAAAAAAATATACCGAGTGCTCAAAATGTTGACATTCACTAAACTTAATTTGGTACAATGCAGCGTCGTCCATTAATAATATTAGAGCAGTAAGGATGGTCTGCAAGATGTGCTGGCTTGCCATTATAATGCAGACTGTGTAAGAGTTCTTAGACAAAATCCAGAGACGGATATGCAATGTCATGGGTCCCTGATCTGGCATCTCGTCTACAGTCACACAGACGTGCTGTGGCTTCCCTCTGTCTTTTCTACAAATATTTTTATGGGAACTGCTCTGACGAACTACTTTCACTGGTACCCAAACTGCATGAATTTAAGCGTGCTACTAGGTTGGCAGCTCGGTCCCACTCTTTCACTATCGAAGTTGTTAAAAGTAACCGCCTCTTCTACTCCAACAGCTTCTTCTCTCGCCCTTCCCGACAGTGGAACTCCCTTCCTCTTACTTGCTTTTCTGATAGCTACAATCTTCAAATATTCAAATGTAATGTCAATCGACATTTTCTGTTGCCTTGATCCTGATACCCTTCTTACTTCTGTATACTTTCCTCAAACTGTTGCAGTTTTTTTGGGTAGTATGTACTAGTGAGCCAGTCAAAATGACTTGACTCATTTTATAGTCCACCAAGAGATGGGTTAACCAATCAGAAGACGGAAAATATTCAATCCGTCGTGTATAAAGGTGGCCATTTTGTTTACTCTATCCGAATGTCCAGTGCCAACTTGTCAGCCGAAAGAACAGAAGGAAGAACGACTGAACTACGCTCTGCTACTTTACCGGAATATCCACTGCTAACCTGGACAACGCTTCCCTACTGTCTTCGAAATATTCATTGCTAAACTCTGGGATTCTATACTCAAAGACGACCGTCATCATGAACAACACAGACAACCATCTTCAGTCTCACTGTCTGAAAACCCTTGCGTGCTAGTGGCACTCCCGCCTTGCTTGCGGTGAAATGTTTTAAAATGATAAGATAAATAAAACCAAAAGAAAATAGAAGGATGTAAAAGAAGAAAAAACATGAGAGTAATCTGCATTGAATAAAAATAAGAATGTTACAGGGCCTGATATTCCGATGTGAATACCCATCTAAGTAATGACCAGACTCAACTTCGTTCATCGTACGGGAATTGGTGTTTTAAGGTGACATGGATGAGTTGAGGTGCTATGCAATCGAAGAGAAAGAAATATGGAACTGTGGCCATTGCATGTGAAGGACCTATGTGTAGGGCTTTTGTGCAGTGCATATATTTTAATAATTTGGTTTACATATTTCTTTGTTGCTTTTGATAACATTCCCAAAGATATAATAACAAGAAGTAATATCATTGTTGTTTTGAGCTGGCCCCAAAAATAAGGAGAAGAAGGTGAGGAATGAAGAAAAAGGAAGAAGTTAGAAAAAAAGAGGGTGGAATACAAGAAGAAGAAGAAGAGAGGTGATGTAAAAGAAGAAGAAAAAGAATAATAATATCCGTATGAAGAGTGCAAGAAGAAGAAAAATTTTCATTAGGAATATTGTCATAAAGAGAAAGTGCGAAAGGAGGAGGATGAGAAGAAGAAGAAGAAGAAGAAGAAGAAGAAGAAGAAGAAGAAGAAGAAGAATTGTGATAGGTAATATTGTCAAAAAGAGAAAGCGTGAAAAAGAAAGAAGAGAAAAAAAGAAAAACACGAATTGTGATTGGGAATATTATCATGAACAGAAAAAGGGACAGAAGAAGAAGAAGAAGAAGAAGAAGAAGAAGAAGAAGAAGAAGGTATGAATAAAGAAAAAGGAAGAGGCTAGGAAAAAGAGGTTTTAATAGAAGAAGAAGAAAAAGAAAAAGACGAAGAAGAAATAATAAAGAAAAAAAAAAGACTAGGAAAAAACAAATTTTAATAAAATAAGAAGAAGAAGAAGAAGAAGAAGAAGAAGAAGAAGAAGAAGAAGAAATGTGATTAGCAATATTGTCAAAGGAAAAATGAATGAATGGAAGAGGGTGAGGAGAAGAAGAAGATGAAAAAAGAAGATGAGTTGTGATACGGAATATTGTCAAAGTCGAAGAATGTGCGAATAAAGAAAAAGGGAGAGGCTGGGAAAAAGAGGTTGTAATAATAGAAGAAGAAGAAGAAGAAGAAGAAGAAGAAGATAGGTATAAATAATTACATTAACAAAAGAATCAAGCAGAGAAGGAAAAAGAAAAAAATATTTTAGAATATATAAGAAACATAAGTAGCAAAAAACGTAAATAATAATAATAATAATAAGAAGAAGTAGAAGAAGAAGAAAAAGGGAAAAATGAATAAGAAAATGTTAATGGCAAAGACGAAACTAACGAAGAATTCCGAATAGCCCCAAAGAAACAACATTGGTAAAAAAAAAAAAAAAAAAAAAAAAAAAAAAAACCAGAATTATGTGAAGCAAATTAAAGGCTTTGAAAAAGATAAAAATTGAAGGAAAAAAAATGACGAAAATGATATTAAATTAAAAGTTAACAAAAATATTAAATTAAAACAAAGCGAAGGATGACAAGATTATGAAGATGATTTGCTTTGGAAGAATATTTCAATAAAATTAATATATTTTTTCGTTAAAACTTAAACGGCTGCCAGTTGCAAATTTTGAATTGCAAATAAATAAATAAATGAAAATTTAAAAATGAAAAAAAATAAAATAAAATAAATGAAAGACAACTTCGCTGTATACAACAACTGTTGTTATGATGTTTACCTCCGACGAGCCAGAAAGTGTATTGTCGTTCTCTTCCCGATTTAATCTGTCGTTTGCGACACTTGTCAAATCCGTTTACGATGTGGGCTGGCGTTGAAATCTTCATAGCAAATTCGCGTCGATTGGCGCAAATTTAATAAGGACATATTCTGCGCATCAAATCTTTAATCTCGGATGAAGGGAAGCGGTAAAAAACAGTAATGAGAATTTTTATTGGATTTTAAAAATGATAAATTCGACTTTACAAAAATAATCAAAAAAAAAAAAAAAAAAAAAAAAAAAAAAGAAAATAGCCACCGGGTATATTGTTAGTGCTATTTCATCTTATATCTTTAAAATTTGTTCGTTGTTGTTCATATTCTTCTGTGACGTGTGTCGTCAGGGTTTTGGTGGTCATAGCTCTCCACAACATCCTGTCCTTTGTAACTCTTAGTAACGTTAGTCTTTTTGCTATGTGGCAATAAAATAAGCACAGTTCATCTCCTCTCTCGCTTGTAATTATCCATTATAATAATTATAACGAATTTCAGCGTTAAAAAAGGACTGAAATGGTTAAAGTCTCTACTTGTTATATTACATGCGATCTCTCCTGAACCCCGTTTTGCCAACATTTTACGCAAGCTCATTAGATACATTATTCGCTGCTTTCCTCTGTCTCTATTGATTTCAGCATGTCCTGTCAGTGTTGAATGCTCCAAGCCGTTTTCCTTATTATGCGACCCAGACATTTCACTTGGCCGTTTCTAATTCTAAGAATAAGTGTCATTCTATCTCCATTTTCTCCAGAATATCATCATTGCTGAAGTGTTCGGCTCATGGTATTCTAATCATTCTTCTGTAGAACCACATTTCTATTGCTTCAAGTCTCTCCTTCATCTGCGAGGAGATTGTCCAGCATTCACTGCCATATAAAAAAATTTATATTACGTAACAGTTCAGTAATCTTTTCTTTGTTTCTATTGCTTCAAGTCTCTTCTTCATCTGTGAGGAATATTGTCCAGCATTCACTGCCATATAGGAAAACTGATATTATTAACAGTTCAGTACTCTTTTCTTTTGTTTCTCTTTGCTTCAAGTCTCTTCTTCATCTGTGAAGAGATTGTCCAACATTCTCTTTCCATCATATTTCTTATTTAAATATTCCGTAACAGTTCAGTACTTTTTTCTTTGTTTCTGTTGCTTCAAATCTCTTCTTCAACTGTGAGATTGTGTCCAGCATTTCACTGCCATATAGGAGGACTGATTCATTTTTAACAGTTCAGTACTCTTTTCTTTTTTTTCTGTTGTTTCAAGTCTCTTCTTCACCTGTGAGGAGAAAAATTGCATTCACTGCCATATAGGAGGACTGATATTACGTAACAGTCCAGTACACTTTTCTTTTGTTTCTGTTGCTTCAAGTCTCTTTTTTCATCTGTGAGGAGATTGTCCAGCATTCACTGCCATATAGGAGGACTGATATTCCGTAACAGTTCAGTACTTTTTTCTTTTGTTTCTATTGTTTCAAGTCTCTTCTTCATCTGTGAGGAGATTGTCCAAAATTCACTGCCATATAGGAGGACTGATATTAAGTAACAGTTCAGTACTCTTTTTTTTGTTTCTATTGTTTCAAGTCTCTTCTTCATCTGTGAGGATATTGTCCAGCATTCACTGCCATATAGGAGGACTGATACTACCTAACAGTTCTTTTTTCAAGTCTAATATCATCGCTGTTTCCAATATTTTTAGATCTTTCCCTTCTAACCTTTTGTTCAAAGTAGTGTGGAACGTCAACGTTTTCCTTATGTTATTATTGCTACTGTTGCTGGAAGTCCTCATGTGTCATGTTTTCTGTTTTTTTTTTCAGCTACAGTTCTTTGTTTGGGATTCTGTTATCCCAGTCTACGAGGTTCGAAGAAGTATAATCCTCACTCAGACCTACAATCATTGATTTTTTTTAATCATTTCACCCCAAGCAAGGCAATAAAGCCACTAAAACGTAAGGGGTTACTGAGTTTGAAATAAGAGAAAAAAAATCATTATTAAGGAGAGAGGACAATAAAAGAACAGGAATTAAGAAGAGAGGCGATATCGATTGATATTGCATTTAAATTTTTGAAGGTCAAACTTGGTTGGAATGCAAGAAGCCGGAAGAGAAATCCCACAAGAGGCAAGTGCGAGAGAAGAAACTGTTAACATAGAACTTACGGTTAAAGCTAGCCATTTCAACTGTGAATTGACGAGATCTTGCCACTAATCTAGTACTGCACTTAAATTCATAAAGTCTAGGAAACATTGCGGAAAGCTCTTCACAACAAATTCCTTAACAGTACTGTAGAATCCCTTATATCCGGAGTACCTCATATTCGGAATCCCGCAAATACGGACCTTATTTTTTGACGTGTATATTTGAACTATTTGGGTGATATTTAATTTATTTAAAATTTCTGTTTTTCAGGAATATTTACTTTGGATAATTGCTTATGCTTATTTCACCCTAATGGATTTTATTGGTGCAAAAGACGATGGGAATAAGAGGAAAGGATGACAACGAGACACATCTGCAACAAAATAGCGACGAGATGCATAATTGTGAAGAAATCTGGACTGAGATTGAAAAAGTTATTGAAAAGGTGGTCAGTTTTATGGAAAGAAAGCCAGCATTCTCCCATGACGTTCGCAATAAAGCACGCTGACTTAAAAGTGTGTTTCGTTTAAAAAATTTCAAGAACAAAAGCAAAACGAAATGCGGAAAAAGTTGAGAATGACATTAGAAGAGAAAGAATCATCATGCAACAGTGATTAAAATATCCTCGTTACATTATTTGTTTTGCATACGTGGCATATTTAATTTAATGAATTTTCATTAACATTACATAATTTATTTCTTTTTCCTTAAAATCAATTCCGTTATATTTCACTCGCCATTAGCTTATTTTGTTTATCATAAAATACGTGAAAATAAATTTTAAACCTGATTTCAGTTCTTTTTAATCTAAATATAAGACCTCATATCCGGTGTTTGTAACCAATTCATTATATCCGGAAGGCCTTCTTAGTCCGGTTGTCAGGGATTCTACTGTATTTATAGAAAAAAAAAGACAGGGAATTTTTAAAATTAGGATACTGCAAACAAAGATACCAGACCAGAGTTAATAAATCTGAGGAAACGGTTGTATACAGCTGAGAGTTTAGATATTTTTGAAAGAGTTTGGCGCCATGGATAAGACCCTTATGAAAGTCTTGATCTTAGTAGACTATTCAAGAACAAGTTTTAGGTTAATGTGACTCAAGATTATCTTGAAATTAGCCTGTTATCTGTCTCGTTATTTTTATTAGATGACAGATAATTACTTTTCGAACGCTTTTCCACGTGTTTATTTACGTTTTACTGTTTAATCTTTTCAATTTGATCAACGATCCACTTTAATGAGCCAGCCAGTTAATTGCCAATGTGTGATACGCGTTTGGCCGATCATGTTTCTTTTGATTCATGACTGACGAGGCGGAAGATATTCCCGCAGTCAGTTGTAGATTATTTCTGCGGTAGGCTGATTGTCACCCAAGGACCAAGTTTGTCCTGCTATTCAAATAATAGTTATTTCCCAAGCATAGCTTAGATGTGGCACAAGGCCGAAAGTATGGGGCACCCAGTGAGGATCGAACTCACTACTCAGTTGTAACTGATCTGGCGAGACAAGCTTGCTAACCATTACACCACGCCGAGCTATTCAAATAATAGCTGTGTGAGGAATTCATACCTTTCCCAAGGATAAAAAAAGCTGGCTACTTAAGAAGACGTACACCAATGTTTTCTTTATTTTCCGCTTGTTAGTAATATTTAACATCATCCTGGGTATGACGATTAATTGCATCCGGCAGTAAGACCTCTGATCGGGAAATTAGAAGTTTTGAGGAGTATAGAACCACCCGTTGTTGTTCCTAGGTCCACCCTGATCTGGGGTGGTAGCACCTGTTAGGGTCCCAGCTACTGGCAAATACTGAACCCCCAATCTAAAATCAACTGTATATTTTTATAATAAAATGACTTGTTGCAACCTAGGGAATAGAATAATCATGCAAAGTTTGATAATGAACGATAATACTTAGGACAAGGACAAGGCATATAAGATTCGCCAGCGGTGCGTCGAGGTAGTCAACTGCTAGAAGTGAGTCAAGTGAATTCCACAATGAATCTTCAACTGCAGGATATCTACCAACCGCCCCACGCGGTCAGATGTGGTACAAGGCCGAATTTAATGTGCGGTACCCGAGCCCGTAGGCTCGGCCCAAAATTCCTCGTAACCCCATATAAAACGAGGTCGGGTAGCTGTTTCTCGGGCCAAGACTCTGCCCTTCGACATAACCTCGTCTGGGGATCCTCTCTGCCCGGAAGCCGAGAGTTTTACCAGCACAGGTGGAGACGAATCTCCAGCTGCAGGATATCTACCAACCTCCCCACGCGGTCAGATGTGACACAAGGCCGAATTTAATGTGGGGTATCCGAGTCCGTAGGCCAAAAATTCCCTGTAGACCCCATATAAAACGGGTAGCTGTTTCCCAAGATGCTACTCTACTATTCGATATAGCCTCGTCTGGGGATCCTCTGTGCCCGGAGGCAGAGAGTTTCAACACCACAACTGCAGACCAACATACAGTATTTACTACTGTATTTATGCGAATGGGGACATATCCATTATCGTCTATAGCAAAATGACAATCGAAGCAACACTATTAAAAAATAAAAGTGCATTTTTATTGTAAAATTACCATAAATAGATTTCGTGAACTACAAAATATATATATCAAAAAACAACTTTACTCTGAAAAAATACATTTGCGTACAAAACATCTGTAGTTGATAGCTTAAAACTACCTACAAAATATTTAGATTTCGGTATTAAATAACCCATAGAGGTGTTGATGTGCCGCCAAGAAAAATCAACGAGCCAAACAACCATGAAAGAACTCTTTCATGACATTAATCCATATAATATCCTATAATTTCTATAATAAATCAAACTGTATTTCCAAAATATAACTCCATTATAAAACACACATATCACCGCCTCTAGCAATTATGGCCACACAAACATGTATATGCAAATATGCTAGGCCACAAAAATCTCCTGAGCCGACGAAACATAGATATGAATAAAATATGGGAACCAGTAATAAGGAGTGCTAGAGAAAAGCAATGGATAACAACAAAAATTGAAAATAAAACTCTGGTAAAAATTGAAATAATAAGCTCAAAAATTGAAAATAAATCTGGTTTCTAAAATAAATGATAAAACAACAAAAATTGTAATATGAGCACTGGTTTTGTTGTATGAAATAATAATAACTACAAAATTGTAATATGAGCACTGGTAAAAAAATAAATAATAATAACAACAAAATTGTAATATAAGCTCTGGTAAAAAAATGAAATAAAATAACAACAAAATTGTAATATGAGCACTGGTAAAAAAATGAAATAATAATAACAACAAAATTGTAATATAACCTCTGGTAAAAAAAATGAAATAATAATAACAACAAAATTGTAATATGAGCTCTGGTAAAAAAAATGAAATAATAATAACAAAAAAATTGTAATATGAGCACTGGTAAAAACATATGAAATAATAATAACAACAAAATTGTAATATGAGCACTGGTAAAAAATATTGCTGAGACATTAGGTTTATAAATCGTAAAAATTCAAACAGATGTCCTCAAGGCTCAGTGGATAAAGACTTTGGTTAGATCCAGTGACTAGACCCAAAGAGTTGTGAGTTCAATACCAGGATACAGGGGTGGTGAACCAAAAACTTGGAGAGAGGAGTTAAAGGAAAATAAATGAGACATCCGGAAGAGGCATGACACGTGGAACTAGAGCAATCTTCGCCGGTGGACGAACTAAATGGTTCAGTTCTAAATTTCAATCACCTGAGCGTACAATGGTCGAAACGTTGTGAATATGGCAATGAAGATGAGGATATCAGTCCGAATAACGTAAATCATCATTTACCATGTATTCAACTGTGAAAGCAGAATAACCTATATAATATTTTTTATTACTTCAAAGCTCTCAAGAAAATTAAAATCGGCATTAAATGACCCATAAGCATGTTGATATACCGTTAAAAAAACGGAGCAAGCAATTAATCAATTATGAACGTCATCGATTCTTTGTGATTTAGTTTAGTAAAATACGCCCACCATACACACGTACAAAGTATTATCAAGGCTCAGGTTTTGTTTTTCATGGGTTGCGAGATATGTATAATACTAATGATTAACTCTGGTGATTATAAATGTTTTTAAACAGCGCCATTTGCATAAATGATAAAAGCATCTGAGTTAATAGACTTTGTTTCCCCCCCAGTTCAAATAAATATTCCGTTTCTTCTGTCATCGTCGCTCGCTGTTGAGACTTCCTTCCTTCCTCCCGCTGCTTCTGTGCTCATTCACTGTATTTCCTTCCGTCAATCTACGACGAACATTTGTCTTCGACTCACGCACGTAATCGCCGACGGAGGGCGTATTGTCATATGATAAGAACAGAGAAATGAGAAAACACACGCGCCCTCGCTCGCGCGCGCGCACAAGCACACACACATTTACACAAACACGCACACAAACATTTACACAAACACACACATAAGCACATATACACCAGCAAAAAAATACACAACACGCATACAAAAGCGCACACACAGTTATCCTAAAGCACACACATACACACAAACCCACATACATTCACAATTACGCAAACACACCAACACGCAAACACACAGACACACAAAATAACGCGAGGCTTACGACCATATCACATTGAAACACCGGTTCACGTAAGATCATCGAAGTTAAGCAACGTTGAGCCTAGTCAGTACCTAGATGGGTAACCGCTTGGGAATACCATGTGCTGTTGGCTTGGATGTTTCAGTGGTACGACTTACAGCCATATTACGTTGAAACATCGGTTCTCGTACGATCACCGAAGTTAAGCAACGTTGAAACTGGTCAGTACCTATATGGGTGACTGCTTGGGAACGCCTGGTGCTGTTTGTTGGCTTGGTAGTCCCAGTGATATGACTTATAGCTGTATCACGTTGAAACACTAGTTCTTGTCCGATCACCGAAGTTAAGCAACGACGAGCCTGGTTAGTACCTAGATGGGTGACTGCTTGGGAATACCAGGGACTGTTTGCTTCGAAGTCACAGTGATATGGCTTCAAGTTGGAACAACGGTTTTCGTACGATCACCGAAGTTAAGCAACGACGAGCTTGGTTAGTACTTCGAGGGGTGGCTGCTTAGGCATACGAGGGCTGTTGGCAAGGATGTGTCAGTGGTATGGTTTACAGACATATGACGTTGAAACACCGGTTTTTGACGACCACCGAAGTTAAGCAACGTTGAGACTAGTCAGTACTTAGATGGATAACTACTTGGGAACACCAGGTGATTTCAGCTTGGCTCTGAATTGGAGGTCTGAAAGCCGAGTTCCAAGACTACAGCATCCCAAGCGGTTACCCACCTAGGTACTGACCAAGCTCGACGTTGCTTAAGTAGGACTTGCTTAACGTCTAGCTGGTCAGTATCTAGATTGGTAACCATATAGGAATACCAGGTGCTGTAAGCTTGGATGTGCGGGTGGTGTAATCGATGACGGCTCGGAATTGAAAATCAGAGAGCCGAGTTCCAATTCCAATCGGGTTTTTTTTATATTCACTTAGGCGCGTGTACCCTTGGGTAAAGGTATGAATCCACCTCCTCTCCCGTTATCCAGTTATGTGTTAATCAGTAAATCGTTATCTCCAAAACGTTCTTACAATTAAAAAAAAATCTGGCTTTAAATCACCTGTAAAAGGTTGATAAGCCGTAAAATACAGATCAGCCTATCAACCAATTAAACGCATCAGCAAAAGCACTAGCGCAATTACAGAATTGCACACAAGCATAAACATGTAGTATAGAAACACACGCAAACATACACACACACACACACACACACACATACAATTGCACAAACACGCACATATATGGTTGCACGCGACGCATAAAACCAAGCTCGCACATACGCACAAATACTAACAGACACACGTACACATAAACGCACACTGCACAAGCAATTTCACATTCTATCACAAACTTATAAGGACCTACACAAGCACACACTCACACATACCCGAACAGTCACACGCATAATTGCACCCATACGCACACATAGACGCACTAACCTACATTTACAAGCACACAGACATACGAAAACCCGCCTGTATAAACACATAAGCATTACGGAATCGCATGCACACACACACCCTCGCATAAATACACAAGCACACAGAGAGACGCATACACATACATGTATATACATATATACGCACACAAAAGGATAAGAATTACACAACCATACAATTCTATCAAAACAAACAAACAAACAAAAAAACAGAAACGCACACACGCATCTGAGGCGGGACATCGACATGGTGTAATGGTTAGCAAATCTGTCTCGCTATAACAATTACGACTGAGTAGTGAGTTCGATCCTCACTGAGTGCCACATACTTTCGGTCTTGTGCCACATCTAAGCTACGCTTAGAAAATCATTCTGGGCACTTCGATGTGGTGTAGCGTTTAGCAGGCTTTTCTTGCTAGATCTATTACGCCTGAATAGAAAGTTTGATCCTCACTGGGCGCCCCATACTTTAGGCCTTATGCCACATCTAACCTATGTATCTAACATCTGCGCGGGCGAACTAGACACACACACACACACACACACAACTCGTACGCCACTTGGTTTCCAAAGCTTGGCTTAGATGTAGCATAAGGCCGAATATATGAGGTACCCAATGAGGATCGAAGACACGACGTAGTCATAATTGATTTGCTAGACAAGCTTACGAACCGTTATGTCACGTCGAAGTGTCTAAAATGATTTTTCTATGCAAAACTTAGGTGTGGCACAAGGCTGAAAATATGGAGCACCCAATGAGAAACTAACTCACTATTTAGTCGTAACTAAGCTCGCGAGGCAAGCTTGCTCAAAGTTACACACCGTAGAAGTACCCAAAATCATTTTTTACGCGTAGTTTAAGTGTGGCACAAGGCCAAAAGTTTGGTGCACCCAGTGAGGATAGAACTCACTACTCAGTCACAATTGATGTAACGAGACCAGCTTGCTAACCATTACACCACAACAAAGTGCTCAAATGGTTTTTAAAACGGAGCTTAGATGTGGCACAAGGCCTAAAGTATGGGGCACCCTGTGAGGATCGAACTTTCTATTCAGGTGTAATAGATTTAGCAAAAACTTGCACCACGTCGAAGTGCCCAAAACGATTTTCTAAGGGTAGCTTAAGTGTGGCACAAGGCCGAGAGTATGGATCATACAGTGAAAATCTAACTTAGTACTCAATTTAAATTTACATTATTCGGACTATTGTCCTCATCTTTGTCGTCATATTTATTACAACGTTTCGGCCGCTGTACGAACCTTCTTCAGGTGGTTGGAATGTCGAACTGAACCCTTTATTTCACTCACTGGTGTAGACTGTTCTAGTTCCAAATCAGGAAAACATGGATGTCAGTTATCAGTTATCTCCTGTTAATTCAATGGAAATTCTCCACTGCCTTAACCAGGTTCCTCAAACTCACATGGCACAGTGGATAAAGGCGTTAGTTACATCCAGTGACGAGACCTAAAGAGTGTGAGTTCAATACCCGATTAAGGCAGTGGAGAACTTGGAGAGGGGAATTAACAGGAGATAACTGATAACTGACATCCATTAGACATGGTACGTGGAACTAGAACAGTCTACACCAGTGAGTGAAATAAAGGGTTCAGTTCGACATTCCAACCACCTGAAGAAGGCCGATGCGTACAACGGCCGAATCTTTGTAATAAATATGGCGACAAATATGAGGACAATAGTCCGAATAATGTAAATAGTGTACATAATACCTCATCTCAGAAATATAGACAGATACTGAAAGGCCGGAACGTTGTAATAAATATGGCGAGAAAGATGAGGACAATAGTCCGAATAATGTAAATAGTGTGCATAATACCTCATCTCAGAATGCTAAAGGCCGAAATTGCTGAAAATGGTGTACATAATAAAAACGTTGTAATAAATATGGCGACAAAGATGAGGACAATAGTCCGAATAATGTAAATAGTGTACATAATACCTCATCTCAGAAATATAGACAAATACTGAAAGGCCGAAACGTTGTAATAAATATGGCGACAAAAATGAGGACAATAGTCCGAATAATGTAAATAGTGTACATAATACCTCGTCTCAGAAATATAGACAGATACTCAATTCAAATTGTTTTAGTGAGACAAGCTTGCTAACCATCAGTGATTTTCCAAGTGTAGCTTAGATGTGGCACAAGGTCGAAAGTATGGGGAACCCAGTGAGGATTGAAGTCACTACTCAGTCGTAATTGTTCTAGCGAGACAAGTTTGCTGACCATTAGACCAGGCCGTTGTATCCCCGCCTACTTGTAAATGTAATATTAACCATAGTAAAAATCAGCTAACAGCTATTTGGAGAACCAATAAATGGAGTAATACGAATTCAGCTTATTTCGTCAATTGGTGTGGCGTGGAGGGGTGTTGTTGATAGAGTCTTTTCCATTTCCTGTCTCTAATCAGAGCGAAGCCAACAATTAACTCGGAAGAGTCTAAAGCAAAAATATCTTAAAACTGTTATCGGGTACCATTCACATGGATTTTCTTCTTATTTTATTATTTCAACGGAAACAAAATGTTTAATCAGTTCAGCCCAAACAAGGCAATAAAGCCACTAAGACGCAAAGAGTTACAGAGGATATAAGAATAAAATCTGGTACGTCCTAATAAGTTATTATGTTTTTAATACGAACAAATAGAATCAACTCAAATAGACACGGGCTATTTATCAAATTAATCTAAGAATATCTAGGAAAATTAGAAACATTGTTTGGTTAGTATAAATTCTATTGCGAAAACATTGATTTTTGAAAAAAAATCATTTCACCCCCAATCAAGGCAATAAATCCGCTAAGACGCAAGGGATTACTGAGTGTTAGAGAATGCGATAAAAAAGACACTATTAAGGAGGGAGAACAATAAAAGAATAGGAATTAAGAAGACAGAAGATTACGATTGACATTGCATTTAAGTTTTTGAAGATCAAAATTTACAGATAAAAAATCTGGTACGTCCTAATAAGTTATTCTGTTTTTAATACGAACAAATAGAATCAACTCAAATAGACACGGGCTATTTATCAAATGAATCTAAGAATATTTCGGAAATTTAGGAACATTGTTTGGTTAGTATAAATTCTATTGCGAAAACATTGATTTTTGAAAAAAAATCATTTCACCCCCAATCAAGGCAATAAATCCGCTAAGACGCAAGGGATTACTGAGTGTTAGAGAATGCGAGAAAAAAAGACATTATTAAGGAGAGAGAACAATAAAAGAACAGGAATTAAGAAGACAGAAGATAACGATTGACATTGCATTTAAATCTTTGAAGATCAAAATTTACTGAAAAGCAACAAGCCAGAAGAGAGTTCCACAAGCGAGAAGTGCGAGAGAAGAAACTGCTAGCATAGAACTTACGGTTACATCTAGCCATTTCAACTGCAAAATGCTAAGACCTAGCTGCCAATCTAGTACTGTGTAAAGACTTTTCCGCCAATCTGTTAACGTACGTTTAAATTTATAATGTCCATAAAATATAACGTACCAAATAGGGAAGTTCATCATGAAAGTATTTATAGAAGCTACACAGGATGTAGGAAAGTGACTTAAGCCGAAATGCCAGGTCAGGATCACTAATATATCAGACTCTTTGGATTTATCAAGAATAAATATATAGCAGGAGCACTAAACCAGATGTGGCTGCAATATTCAAAGTAAGTACAAATGGTAGATTTATAAATGAAAAAAAAAGTGACATCTTCTTTCCGGACGTTGGCAATCACGGCCCTCCACAACTTTCTTTAGAATTACGAATTGGAGATATTAGTAACAAAGAAATAGGGAAAATTAACTGTCTTCTTTGTCTTCTATGTGCCGTGTCCTTTCAGGACGTTGAGGATTATGGCTCTCCACAATTTCTTTTTTTATTGTAACTCTTAGTAATTTTTGTCTTTTAGCTATCTCTGGTTTGTTTCTCTTGTCTTCAATCTGTTAATTAGT